AACACCTACTGAAACCTAGTAGGTACTTAATAAGTCTTGCTGATTGATCACGAGCCAGGATCCAGATGCCAAGATCTTTTACTATTGTCCTTCAACCCTGAATTTCAATGTGAGATTAAGCCCATCATCCTGACCCATAAGGGTTGTTATCTCCCTAGAGCAAGCTAAATAACTGAAAGGGATTTACCTCTTTGACCCCATCCCCTTTTTGATAACATTGGAAAAGATCCTTCATGTAATATTTCGATCTATCTTAGCTCTTCAGCCACTTTTACTAACATCAACTAAAAACGACTACTAAAAACAACTTTCATTGCTATCTCTAATGAGGAAGATTAAAGATGACCCAATGTCTATCAGCCATTATGTGTATTCCCCAGTTTCTCTTATCCCCTATACCCTCAATAGTAGCATAATTCAGGTGCAACTCACATCTTCACTTCTAATTTTTCTCTTTTCTCTTCTAGGAACTTTGCTAGGATCTCATTGAAGCTCTTTATTCTATTATTTTGATCTCTATCCCGAGTCATTGGAGGCCTAAATGATAATTTCTACCAACATTCCCCTGCTCCCATTATTCATAGGCTTGACTAAAGGGCACTTGCATCCCACCAAAGGCCTCTAACCCCTTCTCGCCATACCTTTTATTCTCACTGGAACACCTGAAGATGTTCATCCTCTGCAGATGCTCCCATTGGGACTCTTGATTGGGTTCCCTTGGTTCATTAGAGTTGCATATATCATGATGTGAGCAGCCTATGTTAGCATGAATCACTTCTTCTGTTCCATGGAATTTCAGGATTCTCATCTGACAAACTGTCAGTGATAACCAGGAGGCCACATTCAAGATAAATGTGCAACCAAGACAGGAAGGAAAATCCCAGAACAAATAGACATCTTACTCATGCTATTTGAAATTTTTCAATAGAACGATTCCTTTATCCTAGTATTTAATTTTTAAACTATATTAACCAGGTTTTTTTCTCTTTTCTATTATCGTCTTATCAAGCATTTCACAATCTCACTTCCCTGGAAGAATCTGAAGATCAGAGAAGATGGGAAATGAATAAGTGTAACTACCTCAGATTAAAGTTTGGTGTGGTAAGCTTAAATGACATATGGACACACTTCAAGAGAAATATTCACTGTAATAGTGTATCTAACCTAGACTTCATACAAGACAATTGCATATAAATCCTAAAGTACTCCATCACAAACCAATATTGGTATGGTAATTAGAATGATTCTTCAAATTACAATCATCTCAATTTTTCATGTTCTTTAACCCTATCATTATAGAGAATCCAGAGATAGTTCTATATGCTTTTACTGATTCTCTTATAATGTGTGGAACATTATAACAATGGAAACAATGGAAAATTTTAAAAATGTTTTGATGGTGATGAATTCAATGAGACAATTACTGTTTTATGTCAATTAACATTTCTTACTTTTAGGATCCCTAAGATAAGTTAATTCTTTTTTAAAGAGATTCAACGAAAAAAAAAGTTCATTTGAATGTCCAATGCTTTATGGCCTTTAAATGTTAAAATACTGAAAGCTGTGATCACCAATCATGAATTTATACACCTATATCTGGGAGAATCCTTCACTGGACTTTCAAATGATTTGAGACTGGGGAGAGAGGGTGGAGTTGAATCTTTGGGGTTATGATAAATGTGTAAACTGGGTTGGGGGTGGAGAAATGGCCCTAGAGAGTTATTGCTGATGTAGCCTTTATCCTAAACATCACTTCAAATATCATGTTTCTTTTTCATTTCCCAGTATTCCTTGGGTACTTGAGGGTAGGCACTATTGTTTTTCCTATTCCCAGTGCCTAGTCACTAAAAAGTTTGACTTGAATATTTTAAAAACATATTCCTAACTATAGAGAAGTAAAATTGTTCTTTGTAAAAGAAATGCTAGATCATTAGGTTTTGCAAATTGAAGACTTAAAATAACATCAGTTAATGATTTCAGGTAGGTAGTATGGTACAGTAGAATGACCCTTGCCTTAGAATCAGAGGTCCTGAATTCAAGTTCCATCTTTATGACTTACTTTGTTAGTGATGTGAACTTGGGCAAGTCATAACCTCCGAGGATCTTATACTGATCTTAGAAACAAAGACCTGAGAGATCTGGAAGAGGACCAGGCGTAGAAGACTATATTCTCAGTTATCAGCTATTGTTTTAAAAGCTTAACTAGGAAAAAGCAGCCACATGAACTTAGAACAGGGAAACCTGCAGCCTCAAGGCCACACGTGGTCTCTAGGTCCTCAAGTGTGGCCCTTTGATTGAATCCAAACTTCATAGAACAAATCCTTTTAATAAGACTTATTCTAAGTTCTAGAACATCTCATCAAGATCAGTATTTGAAAATGTGTAATGTTTTTATTATTATTAAAAAAGTTATCATCATTGACATATTAACTAATGAAATAATCGTTCTCTTTAGCTAATGCCTTTTCTTGTTTTTTTCTTTTCTTTCTGTGTATATAACTAATATGTGTGTGTAGATATACACATACACACATCTACATAACACACACATATATTTGTCCAGGGTGACTCACACAGCTGCTAAGTGTCTGAGGCCATGTTTGAACTTGGGGCTTTCAGACTCTAGGCTATGGGTTCATGGCACTTTACGCACAGGAAAGTGCTTTGTAAACTTTAAAGTGCTACACAAACATGAGCTATTATTACCATTAAATCATCAAACATTAAGTTGCATGGGATTTCTGGACTGTGTAATAAAGTTGGACAAAATGTTGTGAACTATTAATAATTGCAGTTGCTTTTAAACATCTGTCACAAAAAAGTCTACTTAATTAGCACATAGTTAATGACGCATCCTATTTGATCCATTCTAAACAAGCCTATTACCATCAAATATTTCAAATTTTTTTGTATGGAAGAAGGTGTGAATATCATTTTCACCGGAGGGGTTTTTTTTTTATAAAAAGGCCTTTTTATGTCAGAAGTTTATTTTTATTGGTAAAATATTAAATAATATACAGAATTAAAAACTGCACTTACACTTCTGAAAAGAAATAAATCTTGGACAAATTATATGCTTGTTCCTGAGATTCCCTAAATTTATTCCAGTAGCTGTGCACTCAGACAGTACAAACCTTTATAATATAATCCTTTTCACAAAGTATTACAAAGTTTCTGCAGATTCTTTAGTTTTACACACATACAGACACTCACACATACATATACAACACTCATACACATTTACAGCACACGCATACATGTAGAAACCATGTACGCATGTGTATCAAAGTAAAGAAAAATACAAATCCCATATTTCAGTCTGCAGTGATAAAACCATTTAGCAGAGGTCTTCAATAGGATAACGAACAGGGTGACTCGTGACATGGCTGCAAAGGCTGTATTTCAATTTACATAGTAAACCTCAATCATCGGAGGCAAATATTGAAGCCTTAAAAATGATACCCAAACTGAAGAAGCCTGGCATACAAGGTCTGAGATATGTATTTCTATATATATCCATTTCTATATCTATATATATGTCTATGTCTAGGGTGTAGACATACATAGACATATATATATATATATATGAAAACAATAGGCTTTTCTTTTTTCCAAATTAGTTTGAAAAAATGAGGTTTACTGGTTTGAACTATTTTTTGCTTCTAAAACTCAAAACATCCTAGAAATTTGTCAAGCAATTAGTCTGTAAGATAGTCTAATTACCTTTGGTATTGTTAAAAGAAAATATAAATCTAAAATGGCCAAGACACATGGCTACTGTACAAATGTAGTAAACTGCCTTTAAAAGAAATGCCACCGAATTTTTAATTTTTTACCTAACCATGTAATTACAAAATAGCAGTTTTCTACAGGGGAACAGGTGTAAAAAACACACACACCCCAAAACAAAATAAAACAAACAAAAAAAAAACCCCAGCATACTACATATAAATATGTATGATATGTAAAATAATCCTCACCTAAATTTATGAGAATGAGATTGCTCCAAATAAATTTTTCTGTACTGAGAGACGATATGTATATTTTTTAAAAAAATTGTGTTAAGTGCTTTTCTTTACATTTAAAAAAGTTGTTTTAAAAAGAAAAAAAAGCATTCCTTAATTTGTAACATTGGACAAGAGTCAAAGTAGGAGAATAAGTTTTAAATTTTAAAATATCAACGTTCAGGCCTATCTATACCTCTAAAGTCCCACTGATTTAAACGTAAAATTGAGTCTGAATAAATATACTATGAAATTAGGGATGTGTCTTCCACACTTCATTTCTATACCCTCTTCACTATTGGGTGCTTTCTCTTAATTTTATGCCTTTTTATTTTTTTTTGTTGTTGTTCTTTAAAATAGTGTAACTTGAAAGTATCGTTGTTAACTAAAGAAAGCACAGGTCAAAAAAGGGGTAAAAATTGACTCCATTTTTTTAAGACTTCCTGGGAAATATTGCACTTGAACAGAAATAAAATGAAAGGATATTGTGAACTGAACAGCCTAAGTAATCATTCTAAATTTGCAAACAGCATGTTCTGAAAAGTCCAACTATGAAGAGCAAAGTGGGGTGGAGGGAAATCCCCAACCTGGAAAACCAATAACAATATTTTTTAAAGCGTTTTTTTCCAACAGAAAAAGTTAAAGACTTTTTACTTTACAATTTTTAAATCTTTTTAACATCTGCATGAAAACTTTGCAATGTCTTATAAAACAATTTATATTTGGGGTAAGGGAGGAGGGGAAAATACAACCAGCAAGTAAAAACCAACAAAAAAGGCAAGCATACCATAGGTACAATTACATAATTTATGGAGTTATATTTTCAGGTACCCTATTTGTGAAAGTGAAAGTGTTACAAAGACTATGTACCTTAATATTTTTCATTAAATTTACTATTTTTCTTTTTTTCTTTTTAATATAAAACTACACTTGAGTACAAAAATATGTAAACAGACTATACAGCCAATGAACAAAAGGAGAAAAAAAACACAGAGATGGAAATAATTGAAAAAAAAAATAGGTAGCCTAGTCTTTAAACTGAGGTAAAAGAGACAGAAATAGGATGAGATTTTACATAATTTAACACAGAGACAATAAAGAGAACTTTGCTACATGGAACAGGAAGTGAACATATTCAAGAGCCAAGAGTGCTTGACAGTTATTTAAATTGTTGATCACAGTTTCAGAATTTTAGCTACTACAAAACAAAAAAAACAAAACCCAAGTCCTTCCCTTGTACAGTGTATTCAGAAAAACAATAACAACAACCAAACAACGAAAAACAAAATATCCATTTCCAGTAAGTAATGTCAAATCCTGGTAAGTGCATAGTAGGGGATTCAGTGACCTCTACCCCCTGTTCACGAAGCTTTTCTTACTGTGTGTCACTTGAGGTAATCTGAAGGGCCCAATTCACTGCAAGCTGGCTTATTTGTACCTACATGAAGTCATATCTGTACTTTGTGTTGCTTAGCAGAGGGCCTTTCCATTTTATATTTTATTCACAATAAAAAGAAAACCACAGAAAACTAGTTATCCTTGTACCACTCTTTGTATGGGATAAAGATTAATTCACAAATTTATACAGAGAACACACATATACAGTGTTGTATGGGAAAAGTACCCATAAATAGAATTGTGAATATGTTCCCAGGCAGAAAGTGCATGTGATTACCACAAACTTACAGTACTGCAAGAGAAGTCTAAATGGGCAGAAAGAGAATTTTTCTTAAATACCATATGGAAATGTCAATTTTAAATTTCTGTAAGAATAATAAAAATTTATCAGGTCATTTTATTTTGGCCTAACAATGTACTATGATGCGGAGGAACGTTAGCATATCACAGCTTCTTGGTCATAGTTTGTTAGTTTCTTATAATCAGCAGCTCATTTTTAAAACAAACCTACAGCAGATAAACATATAACCATGATATATCATCCACTGACCTTGTATTTTGGAAAATAACAATGTGATCTGACTGCTCTATTCAGTTTTGTTCAAGGACTGTGAATTACCTGACTTTTTAAGATTATTTAAGATTATTCTACTAACAATCAGTTAGGAGACTAGAATACTAGTCCATTGCTAAGAGTATCAACACAATACTGCATTTTATTTCAACAAAGAATTAAACTAATAAAACCTTATTATTACTGAACTCATTCTTCCTGGAAAAAAAATCACACAGCATAATATTTCACAGCTAAGTTTTTTTTTCTCCACCTCAAATCTCATCTGCACAATCTAGTAGGTAGTGGTCATTCCGAAATACCATCAAATTTCATAAGAGATACTCAAAAATGTTTTGAAAGTTATTTTCTTTAGACAGTTGAGCAATAAGTCTCTGCATCTGTAAGCATATGTTACCATAGCAGTTTTGTCCTATTTTTACAAGGCTGAAATACATGGTGCTCAGTTTTTAAGTGATTTTAAAAAAATATATATTAAAGCTGTCTAGACCGATACTTAGATAACTGACTTTCTAAATGTATTCTGAAAGGCACAAATATAATTAAATTTTAGAAATATTTAATACATTAAATTTCAGTATGTTTAGATTCCAGTTACTATAGAGTTCGATTAATTTATAGAAATCCAGGGTTTAAAAAAACAAAAATGCTCAAATATCTATTGAAACTATTAGAAAAAAATACAGAAAAAACCAACATGATTTTTAATTCAATTCTTTTCTTTGGGGTTCCTGTTGGAGAGTTTTCTATTTTAGGATCTGCCTCATTCACACAGTTCTCATGAAAAATCATATAAAAGTAGAGAATTTAGACAGAGCAATATAACCCACAGGAAAAAAAAAAAAGGTTTTAACTACAGTTTCACAAATGCTACTCATTCTTTTATCCACAGCAAACAATCCATAGTTTTGGAAAATATATTAAATCTTTCTCATGGTAATTATGTTTTGGTTGTAATAGCTGCTAGACTTTTTTGTTTGTTTCTTTTGGTACTTCTTTTTGCTTTTGTCCTCAACACCCCAGGGAGTGATTTAGAGGTGATGTGAATTAAATAACATCAAACATTATTTAGAAGGTATTACATTTTCTCTGGTATAAATTCTGTTTTTCACTTGTAAACAGCAACAGATATTGCATGATTTTCTGAAAAGTAGCTGAGATACTAATACTCTAGATAAAAGTTGACCAAACTTACTAATGAATTCCTCTCTCTTTTCCACACACCAACAGGGAAATATGGTTCCTCATTTCTTTCCTTTTTTATGGACTCTCCTTAGGAGGCCAACCTTATTTAAACATTTGGATATGTGTAATAAGCTGCTCTTGCATAAAATCATTTCTATAAGTCAGTGACTGGAATACCTGAACACTCACTACTGATTCTAAAGAGGAGTTCATGAAAGTTTTGAATGCCAAGAGAAGTTCCTTCAGTGCTTTTTTGTCATAGTCTAGCAAATTAAAGAGAGAGAAAAAAATTAAACATCTCAGGAATCAGCCACAATGTTGTTTTTCTTTTTCCATGTATATTTTCCCAACACTGATAACTGCGTTTGCATATCAAAAGATTTTAAAAAATTCTTATCAAAGTCTATTTCCCTCATTCATATCTAAAAAAATCCAGTGACCACGACTCATGCTCACCAACTGTTCCTATGCAGGAGAGACACTTCCTACTTTGCAGCTAGGTATAAATCCTATTCGGAATAAATTCCATTTTCTACTTCAAGAAAACTCTAAACAATTAATTTTTTTAACAGTACAAAATCTCTTTGAATTAGCTTGCTAATGACTTTCACTTGTTGATAGCCCAACTATAATTTTCTTTTTAGAGGAATTTATCACCGGTCGCCACATAGGAAGCACACAGCAAGGGCTGTGGGAGGGATGGGGCACAAAGTAGGTAGCTGCCTATGGTGCAACCTGTGGAGGTGGTCAGGTTGGTGATTGAGGTTTTTAATATTACTTTTCATAAATGCCCATTTTTAATACCAGGAAACCCTACTAAAAACGGCATGTACCTGTTTCCATAAGATAAGTCCCATGTGGTACAATGAAACTCAAAGTTTTGCTTAGATTGTAACACACAAGGGTGCCGTTTTCAAACCTTGCCTCAGGCACAACCAAACCTTCCTTTGTCCTGGCTCTGGCACATTATTTCTCTTCTGAAATAAGAACTGGAATCAAATGAATATAGATCAACTTTTACAAATGTCTGAAATTTTGCCAAAAAAGGAAGTACAGAAAACTGCCCATAATTCTCTTCAGTACATTCTGTGATATTTCACTGAAATAAACTGTATGTAAACAATGCCTATAATAAAATTTCCTACCTGATTATTTGGTATCTAATTGTCACATCTACATTTAGTCACAACCTTTCACATTTTCTTTACAGAAAATGCCATAATTAAATAGAACCTTTCGGAGACTTTTCCCATAGCGCTACTTCTCCCAAAGTATTTTTTACCTACAAAATCTGCAATGACCCTGTCTCTCTATTTGCCACTGTCTCTACTTAAGCCAATACCATCTTCATACTGTAGATCCCTATCCATTTAGGCTAAGGATAAAAGTATATGCCTGCAACAGACATATTCTCAAGAACACAAACTAAAAGGAATGGTAAAGTAGAGCATGAGTGATTTGGGAGGCCTCTATAAAATTCTTTGTGGTCGTCTGTTTATTCCCAAAACATATGTCTGCAGGTGATGTAATGAACTGACAGAAAAAAAGCAGGAAAATTCACAAGTGGTGTCAGCAGAAATTTCCAAATAAATTAAGCTCTTAGAATATTAGTTGTTGCCAAAGTGCTTCTTTAAAAGCAAATTATCATCATCACAAATACCCCCCAACCCCCACAATACTGTTAACTATTGGTCACTTGTCTTCTCCAGAAAAGTGAAATGGAAAAAAGAAAAACAAAATCAGGAAGAATTAGGAGAAAAAACAAGTGATAATTGCTAAATAGATTATTTTTTCTTTGGTGGCTCATTGTACAAGATCTTATAGCAAAATAAAATTGATGTTCACAACGTACCATGAAGCAAAGAAGAAATGATACAGCTAATATTCTAATGTGTTTCTCATTCATATTCTAATGGATACTTTTTGGATTAAAAGATAAGTGGTCATTACCAATATATTAGTTTTGTCAAGGTCTGGGGGGGAAAAAGATGAGAAGGAAGCGGTGAGTTGTAACCAATTCTCCCTAGTCCTATGTAACTCTATTTGCATGAGCACTTAGAAACTATCTAGATAAGAAGTAGAAGATAAAATGGAAAATTGAGTTGAGTAATACAGAGCAGCTTTTTATATCTGAGTCCTATTCACGTTCAGGTTTCTCTATTCTTGATCATTCTCACATTGTACTATAAGAAGAAATGTATTGTGCTGCATTATATGTGATGCACTTCTACAGTACTCATCAATTACTACTTGATGATATTTCATGTCAAAAATGGCCATCAGGTATAATCTGACCACTATCCAACTCATTCCTTACTAAACAGAGACTACATGTTCTATCTGCCAAGCATGTCCCTGTAAAAACAAACAAACAAACAAAAACTTTAATCACTATACCACTCAGCTGTTCCCTTCTAAAACTGTTGGACTGTGTTGAATAAAATTAGCACCCTCATAAATACAAAAAACATCCACCTATGCAAAATGTCGATCTATAGTAAGCATAGATAGAGAGCAGGAAAGTAGGATGTTAAAGGCTTATAGTTCATATCTCAAGAGTCTAAGCAACAGGGGAAATAGTTGTTGAAAGGGATTAGTACATAGGAAGCAAGTGATTTTGGCTTAGAGATCACCTAACTAATAATTCCATCCCTATATAGGGTCAAAGAAAGGGTGAAAGTGAACTTTATTATTATATTTTTAATCTGCAGCCCAACCAAAATATTGCAGAGCAGTTTCCTTTTTCCTCAACTTAAATGTGGTAAATATCAACACTGGGAGGAAAAAATTCCAGAAAAAATAGCCACAGTTGGTATCAGTACTAGGTATACTTCATGTTTTTGATTTTTTTTTTAAATAACCACATTCAGGTCAAACTCAGCATTGACCTTTGGAGTTTTATAGAATAGAAAGAGACAGTAGGCAAAGTCTTAAAAGAGTTGACTATGGAGCAGAATACCGGGTAGTTGAAGATTTAACAAACTAATACACTACCAGAAAAGAGGTTTCTAGTGTTCTCCCTAGTGTCAGCCTTAATAGTGGATGCTACTGACTGGTTTAACACTGTTGCTGATAAGATGACAATTGAATACATATCTTAAAAAAAAACCAAGCGTATTCTACTATCAGGACATAGTTTATACCTTAATTTTTTTTCAAAGAGCAGCAGAACCCCTCCAGAAAACTACTGCCTCATAGCCACTCCTAAGCTGTATTACTCTGAAAACCAGATAAAAATATTAATCATAAAACATATTAAAAGTAAGGCTGTCAGGGTGTCTACAAAACGCCAGTCCCCAAAACTATGGAAAAACAGCAAGTCTAAAAAGGTGCTTCTTTAGTTTAGAAAAATAAGATAGTAGGATTTCAAAAGTACTGTAGGTGGTCCTAACCACTTGTAATATGAAACTGCTAAGTGGTACAATGTTCTATAGATTGTATTAGAAATTCCAGAAAGGGAAGTAAACACAGAACCCATGACCATAGCTCATCCTAGGAAGTATCATTGAAAAGAACATTGTGTTTGATTTATGATCAAAGATCTTTACAGAAAAACAATTTATATTTTCAAAACGTTTCTTTTTTAGAGAGTAAAAATTCCTTATACTCTTTTTTTTTACTATTGTTAAGACAAAGTCTTACTATGAAAACTCTCCACTTTCCTGTCCAATATCACCATCCTAAAAATGGAGATCATCCTCTTTTAGTTGAACCTAATGTGAGCTGAGTGATTTTTCAAAGCATGATATAACTTACAGCCAACCATTGCAAAAGTGAACTGCCCTTCAATTCCCACAAAATAAGCCAAGCGACAAAAGAAAACAAAGCAATTACCCCGTCCCCTCCCTCCCTCTTTTCCTTCCTGATAGTCAGGTAGAGCAAATGAGACTGGGTCCATAAAATAAAAATTATTGACTGTAATAATTTTTCTTTTTCTTTTCTTTTTTTAAAAAGGTTAAGTTAATGTCTGAGGAAGTGGGATTGTAAGTGCAGTATTTCTTCATGTGCAGTTCTTTACTTCATAAGGGTCCCCTTTGGAAAGAAAAAGGCCTAGTGGAATGTGTGCTCCCCTCGTACAATGTGTGATGAGAACTCATAACGGTCCTGGCTTCGGTAGCCACAGATGTTGCATTCTAACGGGTCCCGATAACCATGGCAACCCATGTGAATTGTGTACATGACATGGTCTAGGAATAGGACTCTGCAGTGCTCACACTTGAAGGCTCTAATTTGTTCTCCTTCTCCATTGAAGACCTTGTAGATGTCCTTCAGAGAGCCCTTAGAAGCCTTTGTGGCATCCAAAGCCTTGACATCCTCCTTCATGTAAGTTGGGCTTTGCTTCCTCTTGGGATTTAAGGCAGGGTTTCCTTGGTAGGACTGGCGATCATCATGGCTGCTTTCTGAGTCAGTAGAATCCAGGCAGCTATGGCTGGGTGAGGCCTCTCTTTCCTGGGGTCGACTCTTTGGTCTGATTAGAGAAATGGGGCCATCCATGTTGTTCTCATGACTGTCAGAGGTTTCCCTGCTAACGGGCCTTTCTATCCTGTTAGGATGATAGACCTGAGTATAAGCTGAGCTGATGACTGGGGCGACCTCTGCAATTGTGTTTGGTGTGTGCTGCATCAGAGGGTGAAGTGCTTCAGCTCCAAGGTAGGTGATTGCGTTGTTGATGGCTTGGTCCATCATGTGAGACTGCATCAGCTCAGCCTCTTTCTCATATGTTAAGTTCATATCAAAGTGAATATCTGGGTAGCCAAATCTCATGAGCTTCTCTCCTAAACAACGATGATGACAACAACAAAAACAAAAACAAAAAACAAAATTTGTAGAAGAAAAAAATTCTTTTAAATTATTGAAAGGAGGCAAATTCAACACAACTCTCTAATTTCATAAAATATTTTATCTTCTATTCTTCAATTCAATCTGCTGAAACGAACAACTTATATATTATGTGGGATTAACTAACAAAAGTATAATTAGTTACAAAAATTTCAATAATCATTTGTGTTTAGAGTAATGTCCCTTTTAAGGATGCATTTTGCACTGATGTTGATAGAATAACCAGAAGAACACAAGTCCTAGCTTTACCCCATCATTTTCAATTTTCAATGTTATTTAATATTTTAAAAAATCAGACCGTCATTAAGAAAAACATAGATTCAATATGCATTGTGAGTAAATATTCAACCAAACCTGGGCAAATAAAAGTAATCACAAAGAAAAAAAAAGAGCTCAACAAAGTAGCTAAAGAAAATTAATCTTCATGAATTAAAAGGAAGAAAAAAGAGGTTAATCATGAGGGAAAACGATCACCATCATCACAACAGAGTCTTCCTTGCACAGAACCCAGAACTAGATTAAACTAGCCACAAATAAGCAGATGCCTGTAGGTCCACAGAGTCATTTGCACTTCTGGCACCTTTCCAGAGTAGGACTAATGATTATATCATATCAGTGACAGCTATGTTTACAATAAGATTTTATTTAATATCAATTTATTAATAACATTTCAATAAACTGTTCAGTAAATTTATTATTTTTTAAATATTTAATAACACTTTTAAAGTTCTTCCCTATTTTCTCAGTAATCATAGGATCCTCTTAGTGTTTCTAGGATTTTTACATGCCTTAGACCACAGGTGGAACCTGTGGCCTTGTGGCCCTCTAGGTCCTCAAATGTGGCCCTTAGACAATATGGAACAGCTCTGAAAGTCTTTTCAAGGAAGAGGACATGTTGCTGGCCACAATTTCATTATTTTCTGATCCTATGGTGTGTTCTGAGCCTAAGACTTGACCAAGCAGCTTATGGTGCTTTGTATATTGCAAGGGAGTGGCTAGATGGTGCAGTGGATAGAGCACTGGCCCTGGAGTCAGGAAGAACTGAGTTCAAATTTGGCCTCAAAAACTAATTAGCTGTATGACCCTGGGGAAGTCACTTAACTCTGTTTGCCTCAGTTTCCTCATCTGTCAAATGAGCTTATGGTGCTTTGTATATTGTAAGAGCTTAACAAATATTTATTGAATAAATGAAGAAATGAACATGCAGAAATGAACTGACAAGTAACTCAATGTCCAGAGACAAACACACTAGAGGGCAACACACATAACAGATAAACAGGGGAAACTGCCCAGGTAAGTATGCCTTCCAGACAAGGAAGTCTCACCTGGTTCTACTGCTTTCTCTCCTGTCAACCCACTTAGCAATATGCTCATAGTACAAGGGCTAGATTAGGGAATATCAATACAGAGAACTTGACTATTACTACTTCCATCGTAAGGAAGAGAGGATGAGGCCCTTGGAAGGACTCTGGCTGCTGCCTTCTGCTCTCACAGATGAACTTCCCAGATCCATTCCCAGCCTCCCTGGATGTGATAACAATATCTGTGAGGAAAGAAGAATCCTTGGTCCCACTCCTGGCATAACTGTATTAGGATAGCTATTCCTATGGAAAGGATGTATTTAAATCAGGGACTGCCTACAGAACTCTAATAATGTCATTATCAAAAAATAAAACAGTGACATCTTCTATTAAATGAGAATAAAAATATATGGCTAATTATAATTTAATTGGCTACTCCGAAAAAGACATACTGACATCTCTGTATTGATTTAATAGCACTATTTCCTATACTTTGCCATAGTTATTCAGAAACATAAATGTGATAAGACTGTATATAAGTACACTGTAACTTTGTTTTTCACATTTGAAAAATCTCTATATATCAATATGCATATGTATATAGATGACTTTATATACATGTCTACGTAAGTATATAGATCATGATTTTATACATACATACGTGTATATATACACACATATGTACACACATTTGTATAATTGTACATATAGATTGGAAATGTTTCATAAAATGCAAAAGAATATCTATGCTTAACTTGAAGGATAATTTCTCTCTCTCAATGATCACTAGCTTTGGACAATTCATTTCATCTTTTAAAAAATCAGGCATCAAACAGATTGTGGTCTATAACCTAGGCTCCTCAGAGGTTTGGTGACCACAAAAAGAAGAACCACTAGATAGGTAATGCATACATATTTGCACTTTTTCTAATATGTCTGACCTTCTAAATGTCAGTATACTGTTTTGGAAAGATGCCATATTGCAGGAATTTTAGTCTAGAGAACCATATTACAAAAGCATTCTTCCCAATAAGGCTGATAAAAATTAATCCTTTTTTTACTCCAAGGGAAAGAACTTTAGAGTGGGGTTTAAAGGTAAAGAAAATTAAAGAAAAAATACCAAATTACAGCATGACTTTCAACTAATGTTATCTCCGTGCCAAAGGCTGCAAAAAATCCAAGGTAAGAGTCATAAGATCTATTCATTTTACCTACGTATCTATAGTTATGGAGTTAAGAGGCCGGAGGACAAAGAAGAAACATGTTACTATGGCTAAGGAATATCATTTGAGGAAAAAGTTCTTAAGAAATTCAATGATCATTATTTGTAAAATATGTTGTAACAAATAAGGAACTTGTTTCTTTTATTGTTTTCTTAGTAAAGTGATCACATTCTGTTGCCACTGTTCTCCCCAAGACTCTGAAAACACTGAAATGTGGTTATGAAGAGTAGTAATCAACAAATTCAAAACCCAGAAAAGAAAGTAAAATAGTCAAGCAGTTGCTGGTGAACAAGCACAGCTGTCCATGTGATTACAACTTGGAACTCTCTTCACTGCTCCTTCCCTTTTCCCTCTGACTTAAAGAGAAAGGAAGAAATATGTGAGTGGATGAGTATGTGGGAGTTAAGAACTCTTTTACACTATGACTATTTCCTATTTTTTTCTTACTTTAACATAAAAAAAAAACCTCAGGAAATCTGAGCCCTTACTTTAAGCGTCAAGACAACAAGGGAGAAACTGAAGCTAGATTCTGTTCTACAGTGGACTGGGAAGAAAAAAAAAAAAAAAAACAAAACCTCAAGCTGGAAGGCAGGGATGATTGCTGTGGAAAGGGAAGAAGTCCACTAAGTCTGAAGACGAGAAGAAATGAACTGATAGGCCTGGAATAAGCAGTTTCCATGGAGGTTACAAAAGAAACAAGCCACAGATTCCCACAAATCCTTACTCCCATTGCCAGGATTTTCCATTTCTCTTTCCATTCCCTTCTACTGTTCATTCCTGCCTTTAAACAAGCCACCAGAATCTTGGAAGTCAGGGAAATATAGTTCCTAGTACCTGGATGTGAGAAGGACTGAACTAGAATTATCCATTCCAGTCAAAAACAGGGGGACCACCAGCAGTCTCCTGCATGGCCTTTCATCTCCAACCTTAGTGCCTTTGCACAGGAAGTCTCCAGTGCCTGGAATACAGTATTTCCTCCATCTTAGAATCGAAAGTTTGCTTCAAATTGCAATTCAGGAGGCACTTCTTTCCTGATTTTTCCAGTAGTTAGTATGCTTTCTCTCTCTCTCTCTCTCTCTCTCTCTCTCTCTCTCTCTCTCTCTCAATTACTTAGTGTTTACTTACCTGCATCTGATAGATGCTATAAACAAAGTAGAATGTAAGCTACCTGAGAGGCAGGGACTGTTTTATTTCTTTGTATCCTTGGAATCTAATATAGTGTCTTGCACATAATAAAGACCTGTAATACAGCTTTGTCAAACTGAAAAATAAGGGAAAATCATGGATTCTGTTTGTAGGGAGACTGTCCTAACAGTTCCTTTCACATAATCAGAGCTTAATAATTGATACATGAATAAATGAATGTGAATGTATCCACAGCATTTCAAATTAGAATTATGAATGTATTTTTTCCATATAGAGAGTAAGTATAGTCTATTTTAAAGACTAGATTCACGTCTTAAAGCTCGTGTTAGTAGTTATATGATTAGGGGCAAGTAATTTGTCTAGAGCCTCAATTTCCTTGACTATAAGTAGAGATAATAGCTCTACTACTCATAGGATTATTGCTAGGATCAAATGAAAAAAGAGTTGTAAAATATTTTGTCACAGTACAAGCTACATAAATGTCAGCTATTACTAATATAGAAAAAATGATTATATATGGTGACTAAGTTATTGAATCCTACTTGTATAGTACTTCTTTTAGATCTATTCTAAGTCAAACAGGCTTTAGGAAGATTGGCATGGGTATCTAACCATCATTTGTATTACTACCAGGGAAAAAATGTGTTCCAAGTACCGAGTAGACTGGGATGTTAGTTTTTGGAGCAAAACCATTTTATACATTGAGGACTACAAAAGTAAACAATGTAAACCAAGTAACTGTCAGGTTGAGACACAGATCTGACTAAACACAAAAGAGCTAGTTAATATAAGAAAGAGATGGTACTTGATGGGAATTATCCAACGAATATTGCTGAAGCAATCATGGTCTCTGCCATAGTGGAGATGAGTTTATCTTTTTCAAGGAAGTTGCTAAACTCTCCTGCATGAACAACTATTCTTAAATATACTATCTAATTCATGACCTCAATAGCACTTCAATTCATAATGATCTCTCTCTCATAGGAATACTTCATATTTAATCATATACTGTCTACCTCATGACTTCTCTTGTATAATTGAATTGTAGTATTATTTAATTTTTCACATGTGTACATCTTGTATCCCAAAGTAAAGTCTAAGATTTTTGAGGGCAAGTATATAATGATGTACTTCTCTATACCCAGGTAATATCCAAATAGTATTATAAATATAGTAAGCATTAAATATCTGTTAAATGAATTTTATGAATGAAGTGCCATGGATTTTGGTGGGACTTCTCTACCATATGAACTCCATTTGAAAGTAGATTTTCTAGTATAGCTTTTCTTTGTCTATCTCTATCTATGTTTATATACATATAATATTCTATATTGGATGGGGGTAAATATGCAATCTAGTCTTAGAGCTGGAGAAATTTGAGCAAGAAATCTAATAATTTCATCATATATTCTGGATATGTCATATGTAGATGTTATGTCAAGCCTAGATATTTAGTTATAGATAAATAGACATTAAACCAACATAAATATGGCCCTTTTATAATGATCTTAATCAATAACTTCCCTTCCCTCCCTCACATTCCACTTCAGATTACTTTATAACATAATAAACTGGATTCTCCAATGTGTAGAAAGAAAGGACTCTGCAGATGTGGAAAAAGGTGAAGGAATTTGGCTTTCCCAAATAGGAATTATCTATGAAAAATGTTTTCGTCTCCTATTGCTTCAGAGACCATGTTAGAACATCTTTCACTTTTTTCCAAAGAGTTCAGAATATAAATTTGGAGTTTAAATAGTTAACTTTAAATAGTTAAAGCAAGATATATTTTTAGATATTACAAAATTCTTTTTATTTTTTTGTAATGGTATACAACTTTATTTCCATGACCTTCATTTATTTACAATGGATCCATAGATGCACATACAGGATACTCAGGAAGAAAACTCCTAAGGAATGAATAATTTTCACATTAAATTAACAGTAATAGTTTCATTGATGTAAAAATTGGGCTTTCATAGAGAAAGAGGGAAAAATGATTCAACTTTAAATGAAGCTAGGAAAATGAACCATCAAACTGACAAGATGTGACATAGACTTTTTTAGGAGTGTTAGTCCACCCTGTATTCTCTTACCTCTAGGAAACAATGGTGGTGCGAATCCTTTTTCTTTAAAGACAGTTTTTATTTACATTTTTATTTACATTTATTTACATTTACAGATACTGTACCCAGATCTTTAAAAGATGCCATTAAATTTAAATTAAGCAGGGCTGGCAAAAAGTATAGATGCCGACTATTTTCCTCCTTCTGCACTAATATAAACAGTGAAAATGTACTGTGATAGGAATTGGGGATATGCCTCAATATTAGATTCACCATTAGCATATATATAAGGCAAAAGATTTTATGATAATCATTTGTGCGTAAAAGACATTTAGTTATAAAACAATCTGCTTCTATGGATGACATGTATAGGTATGATATATCTTGGGCATATGTTAATGCATTAGATTTCAGATCCAGTCTTCTCAAAGTTTTAAGACCAGATCCTGTATTTGTTCTCCATTTAATGTAAAATACTACAAACAAGATCTTTATAAAACATGGGGGCTGAAACCAGGATTTCAAAGAACATGCAATTCCCTCGTACAGGTTCAGAAAACACTTGGTTTCTCACTTCAAGTTTTTTACATATACGACTTAGCATTTTATTATTCTAGGTTACTACTCAATTTTCATTTTACTTAAAAGAAATTTATTATTTTAGTCATACCTTTAGTTACTTCATACTACTTATATACCTCATTTTGTTGAGAGGTTATTTCTTTAATGGATTTGAATCTACTTAAAGCTTAAAAAAATAATAGTTTATACTTGCACACTGAGATTAATTTGTTATTTCTAAATATTACTATTGTAAAAAGTATTTGTCAAGCTTACCCACAAATTTCTGTGGGGTGGAGCTTTTACGTTTTCCCATATTCCCTGTCAGCTTCTCTATGACAGCAGGTCTCTCAAAAGGCACCAGAGAAATATTGTTGTCCATCACAGGCTCCTGTTCCTTACAATCTTCCATAGGAGGGACTACATAAAACCAAAAAATTACATCAGATAAATCTTTTTATAAATAAAAAAGAGAAGAAAGAGAACTGTGAAAAAATGCCTAAAAGAGGCCCCCAAACAATTAGCAAGATGTTCATTAAGGTATACACTAATACATGCATTTGGTTTCTAATGTTTCAACACACAGATAAAAATTGTTACCTCTATTGGTGGAAAATACATTCATCTTGTTTCTCATCTTATTCCTCTTAAAACGTTTTTTAAAACATTGATTAAAATTAATACTCCTTTATTGATTTAAATTAATACAACTTTAAGACAATGCACTGTTTTCAAAGTTTTGTGGTTTAATTTTAAAAATCGTTTATATCAGCTCATTAAACTTTGCAGGGATACATGATAGTGTCACAATATGTGTGTACTTTTACCTTTCAGGTGTTTCCTAATGGAAAGAGAAGTTCACTATTCCAGTACCTGAGCCTGTAGGATTTTTGCCCTGCTGTCAGTGATTTGAATGCTTCGAGAAAGCAGTCTTCATGAAAAAGCTCCACCTCTACATGTTACTATGCTTAATAAACCATAGCTGCTTCATTACATGACTTACATCAAAGAAAGCTCTTCAATGGTCTAAAATAATATGTTTTCAAATGGAGCATGGGTTTACTGAACTACTGCTCTAATTCTTATAGCCAAAATTCCCTGCTGATTCCCCTTCTTCTCACTTCTTCTGGAGCTAACACTATTCTTCTACAACCACTGTGGTCTAGTATCCCGATTTTAAGCATGCAGATATTTTGTTGGCACAATATCATGCAAACAAAGCTACTATAAAAACACTGCTTTTGTCAGAGAACCTAACTGGAGGAGAAGATGAACGTCTGGAACAGTTCCGATCAACTTCTCACAGCTCATGTTCACAACAAAGAGTCTAACAATCTAGTCCCCCACCCCACCCCCCACCCCAGGCTTTCCGCTTCCACTTGCGCCAGTCCTATTTGGAAAACCATGCGCGTTGTGCCTCAGGATTCAGCCTGCACTGTAAAATGATTTACTCCACTGCTTTCATTTGTACAGGATGCTCCCACTGAGAAACACAATGGCTTCTCACTTGCAAGGGAATCCAGCTGGCACCAGCAAAAATGGAGTGGGAAAGCAAGAAAGCAAGAGACGAAAGTTGAGAAAATTCACTGCACAATGCAGGTGACCTATTTAATAGCTAATGCAGATTGCTAAATTTGCCAAAATCAAAAGTGGAGCTGAGGAAAGACTTTTAAATGTGGAGCAGGTTCAAGGGAATCCAGAGTCATTTTATCTGAGTCTGCTAACCTAGTATGCACTCTGATTAGATGGGTTAAAGAACATTTGTCGCTACTATGCACTTTATAGAAGGCCTTGAAAAACAAGGGGATTTGCAAAGTAGACATTAAACTGAACAAAAAAAAAGTGATGAAATTAGAAACAAAGCCACACTTAGGAGACTACTTCCTAAATGCAGTGCAGTTTATGAACCAATTTTTCCTATAAACTTTTGTTTCTAATAAAGTCCTGAGATAGAAGAAAAAAACAACGCAAGTTCATTATTTTTCTCAAAAGTAGCAAAACTGATTTTTGAGCCTTGCCCCAAGTTGATTAAGTTAATTGGTTGTGAAATGAACAATGTAATAATGGACACTTTTGCTACAAATCCTGCCTTGAGTTTTTTACATCTATATAAGCCCAATACTCAAAATGAAATGGGAAGGGGGAAAAGATGGGGGCACACACCAGAGTCCTCCACTAAGTTTAAACTCAGCTTAGCTTCACTGAAACTCATACGAACTGCACACAGACTGCAGTATGCTTCAATTTTCACTCAAAACCCTGCTCATTATTTTAACTTTAATTCTGTTTCTACCATATCAACAAACTCACCATGACTGATGACTTGTTGATCAAGTCATTATGTACACCATTAAAAAAGACCAATATAAATTCTTCAACTTAGCTGATCAGGGTTTTTTTTTCTTTTTCAGAGAATTCAACATGCTTCATCCGAATGTTCAAGGATGCACATTTCATGATGTACAAATTCACATCTAAAGACACCTCAAGAATTCTGCTATAAAGAAACTTGCTTGTTACCTATTTTAAAAACATGTACAATAAATAGGTAAGAGTTTTAATTTCACCTCCGAGGAGAATGGATGACAAAACAATCCCTTCTTCCTCATTATTTTGGTTTTGGATAAGGGAGGTAGTGGTAAAGAGGTAGGTCTGGACCAATAATTTCATCAGTGTGGAAAATTCCCATTTCCCACCAATGTAGATCAACAATTCTCTAACTTACTGTCTGTGGTAATGAATGTGACTGACTTACACATGGTCACATACCACACAGAGATGAGAGGTAAGGTTTGACTCTTAAGCTAGGCCTTTATTTAACTATTATGCCATACTCCCTCTTTCCTATTATTGCTACGAGAACATTGAGAATACATGAAAAGAAAGGTTTATATGTCATGACCTTCTTTCATGACATAACTTGGCAGAGTTTACCCTAAGCAATTCAAATACAAACTTAAGACACAGAAACATTTATCCTGAATTTTGTTTCTTTAAAATATCACATTAGAGATAAATATAATCACTAACCCATCTTATCTATCTATCCATCCATCTGTCTGTCTATATCTTAATTTTATTTGAAGGGTTTAACTGGAAAGCTAGATGCCCAATTTCTTAACTACCAGATTTGTTAATCCTCATTAGTCTCAATCTCGATGTAGAATGAGATATTTTTTTCAAGACCAAGGCATTTTAGTGCAGTAGATACAGTACAGTGATATACCTGGAATCAGCATAACCTGAGTTCAAATCCTGCCTCAGATACTTACTGTGCGACCTTGAGGCCTGTAAATTGGAGATACCGTTATTACTCATCTCACAGGGTTGTTGTAATGGTTAAATTAGATATTTATATAGGGCTTTTGTTCTTATTGCTACTATTACTGGCTATTTTATCCTCCTAGATATTTTCCCTCTATGGGTTTGATGACACTGCTTTCATTTCTTTTTTTTGCTGGATCATCATCCATATCACACCCCCACCTATGGGTATATTCCAAAGTTCTACATTGGACCTTCTTCTCTTCTATCTTGGTGAGCTCTCTTGGTGATCTCAGCAGTTTCAATAGATTTAATTATGATGTCTATGGAGAGGAGTCACAGATCCATATATTCAGCCCAAGTTACTTCCTACTCTTATATCACCAATCACCTCCAGAACATTTCAAACTGGATGGCCTGCTGACATCCCAAACTCAACATGTCTAAAACAGAACCCATCATGTACTTGCCTTTCTAACTGAAAACCTTGGTGTCCTCATTGACTCCTCATTGTCCCTTATCCCACGTGATCTCAACACTTGCCAAATACTCCCAATTTTACCTCCACAATATCTTTTCTTTCTAATTCTTTGTACTCACACAGATACTACCTTAGTTCAGGACCTCCATCTATGTTTGGGACTACTGCAATTGCTTTCTCATTAGTCTCTCCATCTCCCCCCACTCTAATCTACCCTCCACAGAGCTGCCAAAATGATTTCTTTAGTACACTTCTGTCACTCCCCTTCTCAATAAACTCTAATGTCTCTCTCTACTGCCTTTAAGTCCTAAAAATAGGACTTCTCTGTTTAGTTTTTAAAGCCCTTCACAACTTGGCCTCAACCTATCTTTCCAGCTTTATCAAAAACCCCTCCCTCTTCTATAATCCAAGGTACTGAAAAACTGGATTTCTTTCTGTTTCTCACATTTGTACTCTATCTCTTCTCTTTGCCTTTTCATTAGTCCATTAATTCCCCATATCTGGGATGGACTCTTTCCTTCCTACCTATCAAAGAATTCCTAAATTCCTTCAAGATTCAGTATAAGTATCAATGATATCTTTCTTGATGTTGCCAAGTGTTAGTGACCTTCATCCTAAGACTAGATTGTATTTAACTACCTTGTATTTATTTTCTATTTATTTGGCATATATTAATTGTTTATACTAATATTTGTACCTGTTATCTCCTCCAAATACTATGTAAATTCTTTTGAGAGTAGAGACTATTTAATTTTTATTTTTGTATTCCCAGTGTAGGTACTTAATGTAGTGTTGATTGAAGGATGGAACTGAAGTATCCAAAAGGAAAAAAAAAGTAAACTTGCCATAATGTCTCTAGCATGTGATAAGAAGAGCTATAGCAGAAAAAAATGTGCTTTGGGTTAGTTAGCAAATAAATTAATTGTATACAACTAAGCAGTGATACTTAGGAACAATGTAAAGGCTAGGACAGACAAATAAACAGAGATTATACCCAAAAGGAAAGTGGAGTCAATCCTAAATTAATTTTGTTACTAGGCTGATTTACCTCAATGATTATCTTTCGCTTTGGCAAACACTGAAAAGAGTTTGTGTTCCTTGAGTACACATCAACTGATGGTGGGAAAAAGTAGCCTTAAAGCTGCTAGACAGGAGGGGTAGGGCAGCTTGATAGGAAATAAAGTATATAAACTGGAAATGATGAACAAAATGTAGAAATCAAATACAGTTAGCTGTAAGATAAAAAGAATGCTAAAAGCAGTGTTTTATCATTTATATTCAGGCAATTTTTAGAATGAGTTACTTTATTTCAATGGCCATCTATACTGGTAGATTTACTTTTCTGATACTTAAACTACCTCGAGAGATCTGAGAGTCCATCAATGTCTTAGTAGACGGTCCTTCTGTGTTGCTGTGGCCAAGTGTTCTACTACTGTGGAAAAGTGTGAGAACCACTCCACTTGCTATCTGCTCTCTAACTTACAGCTCTAAAATTCTATGAATCTCTGTAGAAGAAACAGTAAATAAACAGCCTACAGATAACTTAATTATGTAAAGCCAGGGAATGATCAACAAAAACCTTTAAAAAAAAGTTTTGCCATGGAGAAACTGTGCATATGTCTGACGTACTTTGCCTTCACATTTAAAAAAAAAAAAAAGAAATCAAGTCAAAACAAAAATTGCTCTTTGTTTCACAGTTAAATCCCTAGTTTGGATTCTTATCTCCTGCCCAATCTACTTCCACCCTTTCTAGTGAAGGTTTGACTTACAAAGAAAAATATTTAGGAGGTGGGGCATTGCGAAGAGCCAGGTAGCCAGAAAGGCTGCTTCCCCCTTCCCCTTTTCATTCTTTTCCTCCTCCTCCCTCTGTCTTCAATACTACTTCCCTATGAATGTCACTATGACACACAAAGTAAATTCTCTGGCATTCTTCTAAATAATAATAACTTAATTTCAATGATACTTTAAGGTTTCCCTAGAATCAAGGAGGTTCAATAATTTGCTCATAGTTTGAGACAAGGTTCAAATCCAGGTCATCTGACTTCAAATCCAGCCCTACACACTTTACCTCCCTGAATTTCCTAAAACAAATTTAAATTCAACAAACAATGACTTAGCATTTCCTATGTGCAAGAGTGGATAATAAAACAGGCAGAGAGAAGAATGCAGCGGAGGTGAACTGGGGAGGGAAATGGGGGAGGGAGGTAGGGAGTAAATATATACTTAACAGTCCTATCAGGGGATGAAACTGTGATAGTAAATAAATATGCAAGCAACAATTTTTGAGCAAAACTGTGTTTTTCCAAGTATTCTCAAGCCTGTTATAATAACATAACTCCTGAACAGTTTTTAAACAGCCAACTTCAGATTCTCCTAAGGTCAAAGAAAGCAATAAAATATTCCAAGAATCTCCCAACATCTGCTCCTCTAGGGATAACTGGTACTTGTAATGGATTCTAAGGAAATGCTAAAGGACTAAAGGAAACCAAATTGTATGTAGTCAAAGAACTATCTGGTTTTCAAAAACAAAATATCAGATTCTCTCCAGTGCAGTCACAGGTAGGAAGATAGGTAGCATTAATTCTTTCAAAGTAATTAGCACATTACTTTGTATAAGTGCCACCCTAGCAACTGCTAACACTCTTTCACAATATTTAGCTTACTACTGCAGACTGAGCTAGGAGTTAGGGAAGAGTAAGTCCCAGTGTGTCTCTTCTAATCATATAAATAAATAATCCTCAGTCATTTAGATAGGCGAACATACCTCTATGCCAACAGCATATTACTAGTTGCTCAATCCAAATAATAATAGCTAATAATAGGTAGCATTTATATTGTGCTTTAAGGTTTGCAAAGCACTTTATATATGTTATCTCATATGTAAATAACTCTACATACAGTATTATCTCATAGTTCCATATCAGGTGTTTTACCAAAGACAAGAAACCTTTCCTCAAATTTCTGAACTTTCCCTAAAGTAGGACAAAAAAAAAAAATCCCTGAAAGAAATATGACTGTGAAAAATCAGATTTTACAGTTATCTCCACAAATGTCATTAAAAATAAAAAGTCTTCTATTCCATCCCAAATAAACCAAAGGTAAAAAAAATTGTAACAAAGCAATTTAAAACATAAAAATATTCATGTTTTTCCATTAAAAGATAGCAATTTTTGGTAGTCAATGAGTACAAAAAGATGACAAAAATCTCCAGACCTAAACATGTGAATTTATAGGGCAATATAAGTCTACCAAGTATCTTTCTTCATAAACAAAAAAGCTAACCACCATTTTGTTTTAGATGTTGTGGCCTTTAATTTCATGTAGGTGTGCCTAGTTCTGGGGTATAGTATGGATAGATTCCCATAAAATATTCTGATTAAATAATGATGACATTTTTCTACAAAAAAACCCAATAATTCAAAAATTACTTAGCTAAGTTGTGAAATTTATTTGTGATATCTTTGATTACCAGAATAACTGACATAGTAAAGAATGCACATAAATAAACTTTTCCTTACACTAGTTCACTCTTTTGAAAAACCTAAGACCCGTTTGACACTATTTCCAAAGGCTATAGTTCAGCCAACAGGAAAAAAAGATATGACCATCTTTCTAGTCTCATACGACAATCCCAAGGTACCATATCTCAAAGTCAAAAGCATGCTAAATCATTTTGCTTACCTACATCACTTTTTGGAAAAAATCAAAAAAACACATGTAACTCATTTCTAACAAATACAAAAGTTCAATTTACTCCTAACATATGGTGGAGAAATTTTATCTGAAGAATGTAATACTCTAAGAGGATCATAATGTTAATAGATTTAGAAGTTATTTGAATCTTTAGGGGAAAAAGTTAAATGAGAAAAACAGAACAACAAAAGTGGTGGCAGAGGAGTCAATAAAAAGTCCTGAATGTCATTTCTACCCACCATGGTGACTCATGACCTGCCCAGAAGCCTCCATACTGACATTCTGAAGATAATTGTGGCAACGTTCCTTGTGTTCCTCCAGTGAACTGCGCTGTTTGTAGCTCCGTCCACAGTAGTTGCACTTGTGAGGTTTACCCACTGTAAAAAGAAGAGAGCTAAGCATTAGTATACCACAAGCCTCCTCCAAAGCAAAACCAGTGCCTACATTCATTACAGCCCAGAAAAGCACTCATAAGTGTTATTTAGACCCAACTGCCTTCACCATTCAAGGCTCTCCTCCCACACTGGCAAAAGTATGTAAAGCTGATGGTACCTATTGTGATGGGGAAATCCTGAATCAAGTTTGTGTTTTGACTAAATCCCATGCCATGATAGGCCAAGAGGACACATTTTCTTTAAAATATCTGCACGCTTTGTTCCCACTAGTAACACCAGCAGTGGTTCTCATTAGGATCTCTTTCTGTGATTTGAGTCAATGCAAAGTATCTCATCATTCTTCTCCCTTCTCTAAACTCTAATGATACTTAAACTCCAGTGATATTTTGGTTTCCTATTAAAAAGATTCACTCTGTGTTTCATTATAGTTTCATTATATAGCACATACATACACACACACATATATATAGTTCATATATACATATACATCATCATATACTTGTAATAGATTCTAAGAAAATGCTAGAGGACTAATAGAAACCACAGCCCTCCCTCACTTAAATCTAATTCACTTGCAAGTCAGGCATCACCTTCCTGATATCATGGTTGTCTTCAAAAAGGAAAGCCAAACAACAACAACAAACAACCAGGACAAGAACATGAGTTTGACTCCAAAAGGAAATCAGCTTTGTTTAGAGAACCATACCTCCAACCTGGACTAAAATTACATTCCTAATAGCAATAGCAAATTACTCATAAGGGAAATTAAGTGACTGCAAAAGATCCAGTAAAACTCACTACCCACAACTACTGGAAAAATAATTCTGTGTTCATGTATCAAAATGATCCCCCATTCAAAACGTTGAGAAAATTTCAATCATATATCCAAATAATTTTATGTTGTTTTTGTCAAAACTTTATCCATACATAGTAAAAATTAAAATATAGTTCATTCTTCTCTAGGTCTTGAAGGTGTTACTTTATCATTTTAATCTTTCAATACTAAATATGTACGAAAATTAAAGGGAGAACATAATTTTAACACAAAGAGGCTGGTATTGATATCTGCATGACATTCAGACTATAGTATAGAACTTTTTAAAAAAAGTTACAGTGTATACTAAAATTGTTTCACAATTAAAACGTAGTTATAAGTATTTTTCACAAATGCTACATGAAGCATAATTAATTTTTTTTAAAGATGCTAATAGTCTTAGAATGCAGACCCTGAAAATAAGGATCATTTCTCTCTGAATTGTGAATACTGCACAACAAATAAATAATGTTTAATGATATTTCAGTTCAAAATATGTAGCATATCATAATTACATTCTATGATAATGTATCTCTCTATTCATACTGCTCTTTCAGACTGCCCACAACATGCAATCTACTCACATCTCATCCAGTCCTCACCGGAACCAAAAGTATTTGTCTACAAAATAGTTAGGTAAGGTTTTGGAACCTCCACCAGGATAAAATTCATGGCACCCCAATTCACATTTATGTAACACTTAAAAGTTTATAAGGCATTATCCTCCTAAGAACCTGATAAGACAGGTAATACTATATATTACCCCTATTTTACAGTTAAAGAAACTGAGGCTTGGATAAAGCAATAGATTCATCCCTTACATGTCTGAGGCAGCTAAGTGGTACTGTGGATAGAGCCCTGGGCATGTAGGCAGGAAGACCAGAGTTCAAATCCAGCCTCAGGCACTTAACTAACTTTGTGACCCTGAGCAAATCACTTAGCCTGTGTTTGCCTCAGACTCTTCAGCTATAAATTTGGATAATAAAAACACCTATCTTGCAGGGTTGTTATGAGGATTAAATGATGTAATACTTGTAAAGTGCTTTAGCACAGTGCTAGTAGGCACTATGCTAATAGTTATTCCCTTCCCCCCCCCAATTAGTGGCAAAATTTTAGAATGGTCTTCCCAGTCTTGAGTCTAGTATGCTTTCTACTTGCGTTTTGTGAGTACAATAATCCTTAATACTAAGTTACTTCAAAAAATTACCATGTAGTCACCTAAAAAGCACATGACAGCATTTCTATTACAAAATTTTTCTTACTACATTGATACAAATTGTAATTAAGAATATTTCTTCAAACAGAATCATTCTCTTCTGTTCAAGATCCAGATGAGGTGCTTAAAAATCTCTATTAAAGTTTACATGTTTTCTTTTTTTTTTCTGAGAGATTAAAATCATTGGATATTCAAGGAATTATCTGTAAGTAACCAATGAGGGGGGCACATAGCACTACCTGAAAAAAAAACTAGGACATCAGACTCTGATCATCTTTCAAATTTCCAAAGGTTTTGTTTTGGTTTTTTTCAGTGTATGTATTTTAACCTGTAAATAAATGAGTTATTCCATTTGGACTGAAACCAGATCACAAACTGAAAAATCACTTCTACTTTTGTGTAAAAAGAGGGAAAAGATTTTTAAAGAAATAAAAAGTGGAGAAAAAAAATAGAAATGTTTATAAGCCAAAAGGAGAATTTAAGAAAATTTCTAAAGTGATTACACTAACAATCTGTCAGATAATTATGAGAATGAAATTACAATTTAATTTTTTAACCTCTTCTTAGAACTGTCTGTAGTAAAATTTCTATACCTCAGGTTTTTTCTCTTTATGATATAACACAATTAATGGTGGTTTATGAGTCTAATGTATACTTTTGTCTAAAACTATACAACTGGCTAAAATAGTGGAAGGCGAAAATGACAAATGTTGGAGAGCATGTGGAAAAATTGGGACCACAATGTTGGTTGAAGTGCCATTTTGGAGAGTAATCTGGAATTATGCCCAAAGAGTTATAAAACTGTATATACTCTTTGATTCAGCAATACGCTATTAGGTCTGTTTCCCAAGGTAATCCAGGAAAAAAAGAAAAGAACCTATAGATTCTAAGATATTTATAGCAGCTCTCTTTGTGGGAGCAAGCAAAGAACTGGAATTTGAGGGACGTCTACAAACTGGGGAATGGCTAAACAAGTTGTGGTATATGATTATGACGTAATACTACTGTGTTGTAAGAAATGATGACCACATTGATTTTAGAAAAACATAGAAAGCTTTGCATGAAATAATGAAGAGCGAAATCAATAAAACCAAGAAAACACTGTATGCAGTAACAGCAATACTGTTCAAAGAATAACTGTGACTAAGCTATACTAAGTATTATAAATATTCAAAGCAACTACAAAAACTAAACTTTTAATGTGAAGACAATATCTTCTCAATTTAATTAGATGAGGAAACAGAGACCAAGTGACTTGTCCCAAGGTAACATGTGGTAAGCACCAGAGATAAGATTTAAACCATTCTATGTATATTTTTTTACTGTCTTTAAGTCAAGCATATAGATCACTCCTTATGTTTACAGTGTCAAAGAGAGAGAAGGAACATCCGTATTTTAAAAAGGAGAAAGGTCAGATCTAATCAGACTATCACCTGATAAAGTGATTTTCAGTTGCGAGCGTTCAGGACTCAATCTTCTGTTTTTGATTTGCTAAATTTCAGAAGTCTTGAGTTAAACTCATAATCTACCACTAGCCTTTATACAAAAGATAATTATGTATGTCAGCTGCAGACGCTTTCTATTCTTCAATTACACTTTCCATCAATTCTGCTCTCGCTGTACCCACATCTTTTATTTGTCCAGAAACAGCTCAAAACTAACAAATCTTCATCTAGTTCAAAATATTTCACTTAACAAAATTTCAGTCAGGTCCCTGGCCCAAGTCCTGCTTGCTGTGTCTTTATTTATTTATTTTTTGTGGAAAGGAGGAGGGCTGGAAAAAGCTTATCTAAGAAATCATAGTTTTCAAAGTAAAGTAACAATTTCTACTTGGAGAATAAAAATGTCTTACCAGAAAGCTAAATATAAATGTTATTGGTTCAACTACACTTGCACAAAATAAAGAATTGCCAAATAGTATATACCATTAGCTCACAGCTTGAATTATTCAACCCCTTTCCTGACTATTAGGTTTGAGCACTCTTGATGCTACTGTACATAAAAGGAGGAAAAAAAAAAGAGTTGAAAAAGGTACAGTTTTATAGGTGCTGTTTCTTATTTGGAAGATTCTAATAAGGATGGGAAGGAAGAAGAAAGCACTACCATAGAGGAGAAAAAGCAGAATTTTCTCTTCTGAAGAGAAGCAGGTATGTTACATTAAAACGAGTACTGCTCTGAGAGAGGCAGGGTTACAAAAGAATGGACTCAACCTGAACACTTGTCTTCTTTCTCCTAGAAATAAACTGAGAATTTTACTAACTCTATTTATGAAGATCAAACCAGCTTCCATAATTACTTCTATTTCCTAATGACTTAGGCTATTCCACTTATAGTCTATCTCCTAATAACTTAAGATAGTACACTAGAAGAGAGGTAAAGAATCTTAATGACACAATTCATTCTCTAAATTATCTAATCTCTTCAGAGAAAGGCTTATTTTGCTATGTGACTAATATGATACAAACACATTCCAATTCTTATTTCTTTAATGTGGAAAAAATAAGTTTAATTAATGTGGGCTATAACAAATTACACACGTGCACATTCCTATCTTAATTCACTTAAGTAGTAGATATTTGGTACTCTAGTTTTCAAAGTTTCAATACCAGGCTAATTCAGGAGGCTTCAAAACAGTTCCTATAAACTGCTTAACTTTAATTCTAAGACGATATTTTAAAATATTAACAGGGCAAGATCACTGAGATAGGAGACAGCACCATAAGCGATTTAAACAGTCAGGAACATTGTCACACATAGTCTATATATGGTCCCTCCTAGAGAATCCTTGGTTCATTTAAATTAAAAACATAAACAACAGGAAAAACAAATGAGTATATAGTAAAAATTATGGAAACATAGAGCCAAAAGTGACATTCGAGGTAATTTAGACTCTTCCCTCCCCCTCTCCCTTTTATCAAATTAGTTGCTTGTTCTTAGCAATTCCACCTCTAT